TCACAGAAGACCTTAACAAATTGTAATGTCTGTACATCACGCTACTTTTGATTTATTTGAAATTATCAAATTGCTCTTTTCCCGCAGCGAACAGAGCACACGCTTTCATCTAACACATTTCTAAGAGATAAAATAGGAAAAAGATTTAATCAGGTTAAGCTGTCTTTGGAACGCATTTGCTAATCTCTCTCTTTTTTAAGAGATTTCTGAGAAGCACTTTAATTTTTCATTGAATTATACAACTTTTTACAAGCTTTAGCTTAAACCATGTCCTATCAAAATAAAAACTTTGGGAGATACTGTAATTAAGCATAGCTTGAAAAGCTTAAAATCTAAACATGGCACATGCTATAACCTCCTTTCTACGTCTGGGTTGGCAGCTTAGAAATATTTCTCAACAACAGATTCCAAATGTAGAGTACAGCACATTAATTGTTTTACGTCAGTGAAACTTGGCTGCACTATTTGTTGTTTCTGAAATGTTCCTTACTACAGACACGATTTGGGGACGACTGCACAAATTTTAAAGTCTCTTTATACCTTACCATGGTGGGCAGTAGGAAACTGAGCAAGATTTAATAAAAAAGTGATTTGCAAGGCGTTGACGTGACATTATTTCCGCTCTTTGTTTGCAGCAACGTTTATCTGGAACTTTCTTCGGTTAATCATTGCAGAATCGAGATTATGATAAGATACTTCGCAAATCACAAAGAAAAGAAATGTTCGATTTGGAAACGACTTTACAAATTTTAGAGTCTTTTAATACCTAACCTTGAAGGGCAGTAGGAGATTGAATAGAACTGCATAAAAAATTAAAGAACAACGCCTAGACGCGACAACATTATTTTCTCCTTTCTGTTTGCAGCAATGGTCATCTGGAAACTTCCTTCGGTACATTGTTGCTAACTGTTATCAATGTATATGGCTCGATTATTCTATGAAGGCGTAGGAATCGTTCAATTGGTTTCGGATATCTATCTATCGGCTTCATATGTAAGCGTATTTCCCTCCATCTCGTGTCAATTGCTTGTCAGCACAGATGTTTTATGAAGAAACGTATTCGTTATTTTGAAATTATCGACCCTAAGGATTTTAAATTCTCGACTAACTCCCCACTGTTTGTACAAATCTTAACATAAGCGTTGAATAACACCCAAATTCTTCGACTGTAAACATGGAGGGCAGTAGGACACTGAGCAGGAGTTCATAGAACAAACATGAACAACGCGTAGACGCGACATTATTTTCCTTTTTTTGTTTACAGCAACGTTCATCTGGAACTTTCTTCGGTAAATCGTTGCTGAGTCGAGATTATGATAAGATACTTTGCAAATCACAAAGGAAAGAAATATACGATTTGGAGACGACTATACAAATTTTAGAGTCTTTTTATACCTAACCTTGTGGGGAAGCAGAAAATTGTGTAACAACGCCTCAACGCGACAACATTATTTTCCGCTTTCTTTATGCAGCAACGGTCGTCTGGAGACTTCCTTCGGTAAATCGTTGCTGAGGCGAGATTATGATAAGATGCTTTGCAAATCAGAAAGAGGAGAAATATACTTTTACTCACCTTTTGAGGTGATAAGGATGACGTTTAACAGGAACCATAAAACCCACATAATTCTGCTTTCCGATATCGTTGAGTTGTGTTTGTAATTAATGATATACCGTCATCACTCGTGCAGATGGTCGATGTCTACTGCCCATCAACAATAGATGCAGTTAATTCGGCTTTGGCTTTTCAAAAGCCAAAGTTTTAAGAATGTGGTCAATAACCCAAACTCAAATAATCTTTGCCAACTAGTTTAACGGATAGCCTTCAAAGCTTCTTAATTTGCTCGATATTTGATTATTGGCGCACCTTTTAGCTTTCCAAGAAAACGAGTTTGACATCACTCTAATGAAAACGTGGCATAGAGTAAAAGTGGACTGGACCACTGGACCCTTGGACTATTGAACATCTTTTGGACCTTTTTTGGGACCATTTTATGGACCTTTTTTTGGGGTAGGGCTGGAAGACGAACCATTAGTACTAAGGGAGGCGTGTGATGCAGTCTATCAGTACTCAGAGAGGGGTGGGGGGCAAACTGTTGTTACCGGGGGAGGGCTGGAAGAAGAACTATTAGTACGCAAGGAGGAGTGGGAGGTGTCTGTATTAGTAAATGCTACTAGGAGCCCATTACTTGGAGCCTTCAACTGCCCTGTATTTTTGTCGCGGTGTTTTCACAGACAAGTTTACTTTTAATTTGAATTTTCCGCGAATAAGGACTCCCCGTGAGAGCTCATTTACCAATCAAGATCAGCACCTGATTAATTTCTAACTTTACTTGTCAATATTTCCGAAGAAAAATGGCATACACGTGCCAGGATTCTTGCGATAGTTCGAGTGCAGATTCGTGTGAAGATTTTGAAAGTACTTCGGGAAGCAGCAGTTCCGAGGAAAGTGCTATTTATGAACCTGATTCTATACTGTTCAATGATCAAAGCGACAATAGGCACCGTGAATTCTGCCGAATGCAGCAATAAAGCACTCTCCACTATCGACCGCACCATACAAGATTTAAAAAGATCGAAGCCCAATTCAAAAGAGTAGCATTTTTTCTTGCGATGTAGAAACAAGCTCTTCATTTTATTGCACCAGCTTCTGTTCAATCCTGCGTCGCAAAATGTCCTTTAGGGACGATGTGGACTGAAGATTCTTGATATGAAGACGACTCGCACATAGCTTTTTCACGCAATTTTTGTTTCTACGCTCTCCATCATGAAATTTTCTTTTTTAGGGGCCAGGGACGGATAACCTTTGATACACATGAAAATTTAAAAAAAAAAAAAAAAAAAAAAAAAATACAACGATGCTCTTCTCTCCTGCTAATTTTTTCTGCAACTCTGCAAGTTGAAAGTGTGAACAATATGCAAAGGATAGTGGGATATGTAAGGATATGTAAGGATATGTAAGGCAAGGAAAGGAGAGATTGGAATACTGGAATACAGGAAACAAAGGCGGAATTTGCGTAGTTTTGATACGAAGACGTGCCCGCATTAGTCCGCCATTTTTTTCCTTTGTGTTTCATGGATCGTATTACCTAAGTCTATATCCCGGGAAAATACAGTCTAAAAATAAACCGTTCTGTGAAAATGCCGTGACATGGGCTCAGCGTGGGAGTTGAACGCTCCAAGTAATGGGCTCCCGATGCTACTGATTGATGGAGTTTTTAATGAATCATACAAATTTTTTTTGAGCGGTTTTTCGACTGGCTACTTTCATGTCAAAATTTTTGCGCTGGGTCGTAGCGTTTCTCTAATTTTTTTTTATCATGCGGATGCAAAACTGGCACCTAAACACTGCAATATTTTTCCAATTCCTAAACTTGATGATCAATCAAGTTAATCTTGGACAAGGCAACGTGTTAATTAGCCATCGTTGCTTTGGTAACTATTGTATTCTTGTCATTACAAGTAACATTACATGTAAGGCCCGTCGTTAATTAGTCCATAATAGACTTTGATAAGGATTCTACACCGGCCGCTTAAGTCTAAAACGTAGGCATTTCGATTTAGGGACAAAATTTAGAGAAAAGCTTTTAAGTCCTCGACTGTTTTTATTGCTGCGTTTGTTTTTCGACTTTGATAAAAAGCAAAGTTTCCTTTCACAGCTTGATAGTTATCTTGGAACATAGCCGTTTTCAATGTATATGGCTCGATTAATCTGTGTAGGCGTAGAAATCGGTCAATAAGTTTCGGATTTCTATTTATCGGTTTCACATGTAGCTGTGTTTGTCTTTATCTCGTGTCAAATGCGAAGCTTGTCAACACAGATGATGTTATGAAGAAATGTATTCGCCACTTTGAAATTATCTATCCTGAGGGTTTTAAATTCTCGAATAACTCCCGATTGTTTTCATTGTTTGTTGAATAACACCCAAAATTCTCCGACTGTAAACTTGTGATACCATTCTATTTTTTGCTAATACATTTAAGTGCCAGCTCAGTACGTTGTACACAATTTATTTATTGAAGAAGGTTCGTAAATTTCACTGGTTTTATACCAAAAGCATATCTGCTATCTACCTGAAGGGTTTATCCCCTACTAAAGATGCGGTTACACACAGCACGGTGGCATTTCCAGATCCTGTGGTACATCACACTTGGGTTACAGTATACCGTGGTTCCAGCGGTTACACGCGAATAGCGATTGCTCAAGGTAAAACAAATGTCACGCAAATGTGGCGGGAAAGTGAAACGCAACTTCTTGAGTCATGGAGTTTGATTCTAGAGAATTAGCGTGCCTCATATCTCTCGTTCTCATGCTATCATGCCGACGACTTTCCGCTTACCTTTTTCACGCGATACTTGATGCGAAGGAGATTTCAAAAGTGGGGGTTGCTTGCAGTGATACAACAGAAAACTGCTGTCTTAAGCACAGGTGGCCCAAGCTCCAGCTGCAAGATGATCATCTTGCGAAATAAGAGTCATGGCGTGATTATAAGAGTTTGTATGGGAATATTTAAGACCGCTCTTAGGAATAAAAAATACAGTCAAATTCTCAATAAAAATGCCACACTTTACTTCCGCAGTGCATCGCTTGCTAACTGACCGCTTACTATGTCGAAAAGAACCCATTTTGGCGGTTTATCCATTTCTAGGTTTACTGCGTGCATAAGAAAAGCCCAAGGCTGCACACGCTCGATCCGACAAAACTAGACAAATTCGACGTCGAGGAACTAAAGCGCGCGCGCGTCGAAGTGTACGGAATCTTCCTTGACCATAGCTTTGGTTTGAAGGGTTGCTAAATGATAGATCGCTTGATAGCTGGTGGAAAGAAAACTTTTTGGTTTCCAGAGCTACTTTTGAATATATCTGTTGATTAATTGGGCCGGCGTTATGTCGACAAGATACCGCCATGAGAGCCGCAGTTCTAGTGGAGAAAAGAGTGAGCACAGGCTTGCGGCGACTAGCTACAAGGGACTAGCTACAGGGGTTATCGTACATGGGCACTCATGATGGGAGTTTCAAAATCGACAGAAATAGAATGTTGCCATGAATTTGTTCATGGACTAAATTCTCTCCAGAAGTTTCCGATCACACGACAAGATGCTATGGAAAAAATTGAGGGATTTTCGTAGATCAGCTAGATGCCGAGTGTAGTGGCAACAATTGACGGAACTCATATTCCAATCAAGGCGCCAAAAAATAGTCATGAGGACTATTTTAACCAAAAGCACTTCTACAGCTACGTGATGCTGGCTGTTATTGGCGCGAATGTAAGCTGCGAAGAAACTCTGCGGTTACGTGTTGCTGTCGAACGGAGCATCGTGATTGGCTCTTGTACCTTGGGCATCAAAACACACAAACAACAACAACAAAAAAAAAACTTACCACGTCTAATGTCATGGACACTTCGTGTGATCTTTTAGACGTATCCATGGAAATTTAACACGGGAAATTTACATTGTGAAACGCCGGTCACTCTGCTAAATACAGTTTCCCGTGGTAAAAGGGCAATTTACCACAGTAAAAGTGCACAGTGTAACCGACCTCGTACATTTCTCAGCGGATAAATCAAGTTCTTACGACGGGACGAAACAGATCGAAAGAAAAATTTGATAATTGGTTTTTGTAAAGGTAATAAGATGCTATCGAGTGCAATTTGCTGTGAAAAAAACAAAAGTAAATTTTTCGAAGACAACAAAATTGCACGAGCCCTTAAGGCGAGTACAATTTACAGTCTGGAAAAAACTTACAAGTGCCTATTTACACCAAATTACACGAGAAATCAGGTTATCACTTGTGAATAATTTACATGAAAAAAGCATCACAGAAGTCCTTGACAGAATGTAATTAAAATACATCACGCTACTTTTGATTTATTTGAAATTGTAATATTGCTCTCTTTCCGCAGCGAATAAAGCACACGCTTTCATTTAACATATTTCTTAGAGATAAAACAGCAAAAGGATTTAATTAGGTCTAGCTGTCTTTAGAGGGCATTTGTTAATTTCTTCGAAGATATTTTTAAGGATTTCTGAGAATCGCTTTAATTTTATAATGAATTATAAAACTTTGTACTAGTTTAGCTCAAATCATGTCCTATCAGAATGAAAAAGATCATGAAGTATGCTCCAGAACGCTACATCAATTCTGATGACATCACACCCAAAATAAATGTAACCGATAACATCAGTAGCTTTATATTTTTAAGAGTTCAAGTCGCGTGTTGAAGAATACTAAATGGCTTTTTAAGTGAGATTCGCAGCCAAAACTTATTGGAGAGTCTCACTGGGGTTAACCGTTAGCCGTAAATCGGCCAAAACAAATTTAGCTGTTAGGCGTAAAATCATTCACCGTTAGTCGCAAAAAATTTAATTATAAAATTCTTTTTCTGTTGACACAATGGAAAGATATTAACTGTTAACCATTTATTAGACGCAAAATCACTCACCGTTAGTCGCAAAAAATTTAATTATAAAAATTTTTTTCTGGTGACACAATGGAAAGATATTAACTGTTAACCATTAATTGACCAAAACTTTAATCGTTAGCCATGAGAGCCACCCCTTCATTAAGACCTTATTAGTGGTGTTCAGGAGAGGCTGAATTTATCCTTTCTTTGTTTACCTATACAGTGATCGTCTTTCCAACCTTTCACCACCTTTAGCTTCAGATTAGGAGGATTAAATCGGTTTTAAGACAAGAGTACCTCTTAGTTTACCCTATTTTAGCGGATAATTAAACTAAACAGACTCCAATTTACTTTCGTTCTCTGAGCCATTTTCATGTTCCTCGTCTGACTGCAGACGGTGACTTTTCATAACCACTCCTACTTGAGAGTTTGTATCTTGTGACGATAGTTTCGCGTGGGACTTTTTATTTCTCCTAAAGTTAAGAGAAATGCAAACAACACATCATATTGCTATGCAACTGAACGCATCTGGTGGATTTTGTTTTGGCGGGTGTTCATTTTTAATTTGTTGAGTACATCACAAAAGCTCATTCGCTTTCAGGGTGACAAATCTTTCGCTAAAGACGAGAAGCATTTGCTGTTTCCCGGGTGTTTTTCTTAGTTAATATTCGGGGTCAACGTGAACGTTCTAAACAAATTTAAAAAGAGGTGATCTACTTCATCGATTAATTAGAATTAACGTATTTGCAGTGGAAAGTCTGAAAAAAAAATTAAGACCAGGTACCATCGACTGGGCTAAATAAACTACATGATTAGGGAGAAAGGCAAATTTACGATGACTTTTGTTTCCTACTGTATTTGTGCAATCAGTAGCGAAATGGTCTTAACTAAGTAACTGATCAAACTCCAAAAAAGAAACGAAGTATGATAAGTTAATTACAGTTTATTATAGAAAAAGAAGTCAGAATTTCTTTTTTCTAAGAAATAATTAGATGAATGAATCGATTAGATAGATACAGACGATATCTTACCAATATACAATCCCAGCAACTGTGACAATGACCACCAAACAACAGACACCAATCAAAGCCCATTTCCAATCATTGTTGCTTGTTTCAACCGGTCCTGTTGGTGGTGACCCGGTAACTGTGACGGTCCTGTTTTCCTTCAAACCTACATTTTTGGTAAATTTGAATGATTGGATTAAAAACAAAAGGAACTTTATCATTCATCGATTTGTTTTGTATTCCATGAAACAACTGATCCTTTAGGCTACAAGTCTCTCGTATAGCTATCTATCTATCTATCTATCTATCTATATATATATATATATATATATATATATATATATATATATATATATACATATGTTATTCACAGGCCGGTAGGTCTCAGTTTTGGGAAAAAGTGTGAGAAAGGTCTTAAGTTCCATCCGAGGCCATAGCCTAAACTAGGTTTGCGTAACTTATTTACTGAAGGAAACAAGATTGTGATCCCCTAAATTTGAAAAGAAGAAAATCAATGAATGAATGCAACTTACCGATTGACGCAGACATCGCGGAGCTCGTAACAGCTAGAGTGGATAATTAGATTCATCAGAACAATGTCATTTAAGAGCATAAAGGCGTTATTTGGAATGAAAATAATGAACGATACCACAAAGAAAGCGTGGAAGGCCAAAGGAACACACATACACAATCAATCGGCTCTTTTTTTGATATTGACTCACTATATTAATCTCATTAATTTCACTGACAGGAAGAAAAACATTATGAACTTACTCTTTGACGCTGAAATCTTCTTACTGACAGGCGAAGAGACAACTGCACGCTTACTCGTTGATGAAGTTAGTGGCGATAGAGTTGGACTCCTTTTCCGTGTGGTACTCAGCGATCCAGTGATCGACAAACTGGACAAACTTGGGAAGATTAAAGCAGAGAGGCTTGAGAATACAGTTGCGTTCTGAACATGGCTTTGAGTTGAGCTTTTGGAAATTGAAGCAGTCTCCGAAAGGAACACTTTTAAAGCTGCGAAAGACAGAATGAAATGAAGAGATTGGACTTAACATGATAGGAAAACCTTATTATCTTAGCTAGTATTTACAAATCAACGGAAATGACAACTTTATGATGCGAAAGTAACGCTCGGTTTTTTGCGTTGTTTTCAAGAGTATATCTACTTTGTTGTCTGCATTATGTATAATCTAATGACAAAATGTATTTGTAACTGCGTTATCGTCTTTTGGTCCTTTGTTTGTCTTAAACCGGGGTGACACAGTCTTGCATGACAGGAAAGGTCTTTACTTTTTTACTCATATGCATTTGTGAATGCAGAGAGGCTAAATTGTGATGACTGCATAGAAAGGGCACTATTCTCTTGGACTAGTCATGCACTTGTCGCCGATAAAATAGATGTGGGTTGAATCGGTAAATGACTGTTACACAGTGAGACTATAGCTTTGGGCTGTTGATTCAGAGGAAGATTAATGAAAAGATTTGTTCCATACCTGCTGAAATACTTTGTGTTGCAGGAGCTTGAGTAGTGGTGAGTGAAACATTCGCTGTGGTGAATGCAATGCTGGTTGTGCCGCATACATGATAAGATCTTGGAAAAACTAAGGAAAAGGAATTTCCGAAAATTTATACCTTGAATTGATAAACCACCGTAGGCTAAATTGATTAGGCAAATCGTGATTTTCCTGCTGTTACACTGACTTTTGATTCAAGAAAATAAAGATAAGGATATTCAGCCTAAAAAAAGCTCACGAAGGACCCAAAGCATTATGGTTTTTCGTGAGCTTTCTTTGTTTTGTGAGCGCGACTACTACTGAGTATTCTTCGTGATGAAAAGACTTTTGAAGATCATTGAACGCATTTGCTTTTCATCAGACAGTAACCAAACTGTCTCGAAGATGGGTCATTTTATGGTTCTAGTCGTTCTAAAACACGAGCTTTTTTTGTCATTGTAATGTTGGTCCTAATACACTCAGCTGCGCCTCGCATGCCACTTTTCGTTCTTGCCACACTGATTTCGACGCCATGCATGAAATGACGCACACCAACATAGAATCTTTTACACATTTACTATTCCATGAGCGTTGGATGTAAGTTGGCTATAACCTTAATCGTATTCTACAAACGCGAATGAAATAACTCATTATTAAATTTTCCTCTTTTCAGTAATGATGTGTGAGCTTACTAAATTGGCTTTAACTCTCAAATTTTCCTCGAATTTAGACGACCGGAAGTTAATGTTACTTCCGACAGCCAAAACGACAAAACTTGAATCACTTGACAAGAGCGAGGCATCGCGACCGTATGAAAATTCAACGCTATGTAATTTACGCAGTCGGAACTGGATATTTACACGAGATACGATGATTTCCGATCTAAGAGATGTTTAAGGGTACAATACCTTCGATACAAATATTCAAGCATGTTTAGTCTCAGCATATCGACACGCAGAAACGTTGTGTACAGCTTGTTTAAGTGTTTTGTTTGTCTGGAACCGAGCAAAGCAAGCGATCGAGGTCAGCTTTTGTTTGGGTATCCTGAAATCATTTTTCTCACCCCGAATGCTCGAGCTACGAACTACAAATTTAACGATACGAGCATTCAGTTCAAATTAGAAAACTTCAAGCTTATCCTGAAGCGTTGTGCACATTTACAAATGTTTTGCTGTGCGGTAGAGAACGGAAAAATCAATATCATGGCGACTCTAAACAACTTCAAAGGTCAACTTTTGTAACCAAAAGTCCTTTTAGCACATTGAAATTTCGACGCAAAATTTCCAAGGCATCCTGAAATTTTGAAGGTAACCAGCTGTTCTTCCTGTTGTGAGAGTGTCATCCTTTTTCTAACATGACGCTTTTAATTTCATTTCGGCCGCATGCAAAGTCACCATTCAGTTATACTACGAGGTTTCAAAATGAGTAAGAATGTTTTCCGTTCAAACCAGCTTGGGATAGACTTCTTGGAGCTCAAAGTATACAATTAACATATTAAGAAATACCCCATTCGAAAAAAAATTTGCCTGTAAATGTAGCTCTTTCAAGCGACAAAATTAGCTCTGGAGAGAACGATTATTCAATCCTAGATGTATGCGATACAAATTGTGGCTGGAAAAAGGAAACTGAGCTTGCTCTTTCGGCGACGTTTACACTCCTTTCTGAACGGTAAAATTCATTTTGAATTTGTTAATATGCTCTAAACGTATTTTCCAGCAGGACATTTTTTTTTAAAGTCGTACGGTTCTAGTAAACAATGATTGAAGTAAATTTATTTCGCGGGTCTTGTACATGCATGAAATTCGTTGGTTTTTCGCATCTACACAGCATATTCAGCATTTCTTTACATAACACTCTTTTCTCGAACGTTCTCTTGGTCGTTTTTGCCTCGTTTTTTACCCACGATTTTCGGGTACTACGCGATTACTTGATAAACGCGACACAACTTCATTGAAACCAAGAGAATATCGTTTGATATTCTCTTAATTGAAACTCTTCTATACAAGAATAATAGAATATAAAAAAATTGGGTTTATGTTTTTATGCGTGTATCGAAGAATGAATACACTTGGGAAGTTTGGAGAGCACTCAGGAAGCTAAATTTGCTCTCGGTTTCGCCTCGAACAACTCTTACGCTTCTCTTTTGCTCTCCAAACTTCCCGCGTGTATCCGAACCTCGATACACGCGCGCTAAGCATGAATCAGTTGTTAAAAATGGTGCTGCTCGTTGTACTCTAGTTCTTCTTCACTTCTTAGAAACCCAAAGTTTTGTCGCTCCGCTGCTCTGCATTCACTAGCCATAACGAAAAAGCATCTCAAGGCGAGCATATCTTTCAAAACAAAATTTGCAGGACATTGCGTGTCCTTGTGTAGGTGGAAAAAGTTGAGAAGCACGAACTCTACAACTCTTTCCAAAATTAATTAAATTTACCTCTTCCGTTTCACGTCCTGTATCAGTTAGTGAGAATGTGGCCCGCTTAGATTTACTAAAACCGTACTAATCACTTTACTCCACTTTTTAACAGTATCATTTGAATCAAGTGTTGGATGGAAACTGAGTAACGTTATGAGCTGTAATATTTATTATTCAAAAGATACTGAGAGACGGTTGTCGAGGTTTGCTCAGACCTAAGGTAAATAAATGAACTGTTTTTAAGAGAAAATTTTTCATGTGTAGACGACAATGTTGAATGGCCGGAAATTGACGTACTTTAAAAAAGAAGCAAATGCATGACACGAGGTTGATCACATGCAGCACTTTTTCAAACGGATGAGTCATTCACGCAGAATTAAGATAAACTTAACTTCAATGACGTCCCTCTCAATTTAACAAAACAAACGTGCCTTTTTCAACGAGCCAAGTCTGAAGACTAGCGAATACAACTGATCCATAAAAAGAGGATACTTACCCAGCAATAAAACTGGGAGAAGAAACGAAACTTCAGCCGCTCGCATGTTGCCCTGGAGAGACTCAATTTCATACGGGTATGGCTATTTAAATGTTCGGTCGGCGTTTAAGTCTCCGGTCAACCGAGACACGTTTATTGCTGATGATCCGGGCGACAACCACCGGTGGACCCATGTAAAGGTCGATAACAAACTGTGATCGTTTAGGTGATTGCACGTGACAAGTATGACGACTCCTTTTCAAATTATCTATTTTGACTAATAAATGCTTTCCCTTTTTTGAAAAAAAGTTTTTTCTTTTCGTTTCGTTTTTCCTCGGGTGTAAAGTACGCGTGATTGGAATTTGGACCGATTAAAGGGAAAAATTCCCAACCAGTGCCAAGAGGTTAAAAAGAACAAATTAGTTACTTGTTTCGTTACTTTTTTTATATGATAGATATAAAAAAATTTAGATTGCTGGTTTTTCTGAGAGAAATTACTGGAGATATTTAGGACGTACTAAGTATTTTAATAAAGCCAGAATTATTTCGTTCAGTTACTCATCACGAGGGATCTCCTGGTGCATCGAGGACACGTGTTTAATCAAAGACTTGGCAACTGGTAGCAAGGGATACTTTATTTCGTTTTTCAAGAGTCTTAATGCTTGAAATTCGAGGGAAACAGTATGGTATTCTCCAAAGGACCATTCATTAAGTGATTTGTTCTATAACACGACGAAGGCACTAGCAGACGGCTTGTGGAAACAAATCAAAACTTTATTGACAAGTTACATGCAAGAACGCAAAATACAATGCTTAAAACGTTCGTTATGGTTGGCTAAAAATGTGTTAAATAATCGAATTTCAGGGAAAAAAATTTAAAATACTGTTGCAGGCCAATGCTTGTCAATGCTGTTGTCGTGTAGTTTTTTTTTTTTTCCTTGCGCAGGGATAAATATTGGCAATTAATATGACCAAGTGGAGTCCAATCCGGTCTCTAATCATACGAGTGATTTACAAAATCGGACGACCGTGAGGAGTCCGATTTGTTAATCACGAGTAAAGTTGTAGACAGAATTGAACCAATTAATCAAAAGTATGACAAAATGTGAGAATGGAACTAGACATAGTTATACGTTTTCATAAAAAAAAGAAAAATAATCAATAATGGTAATAGGACCGAGCGAATTCGGTCTGTAATCATACGAGTGATTAACATGATTAACTCGGGAAAACGCGAGACAACAGCACGCGCACATGACCTGTTCTGTCCACTTACACATACATCATTCGTTAACTGTCCCTTTAACTGTCCCTTTAACTGTCCTATTACAAGCATGACACGTATATTGTCCAACTAGTGCTCAAAAAAATTTTTTTGGTGGTGATAACCAATCACGTTCGAGAATTTTGATATAGTTTGGATTAAGGTCAAAAAATAGTTCGCTTACGGACCAGTAAAGTCATTATTTATCGCCTGGGAGAGGGGGGGGGAGTTTGAGGGGGATCACATGGCTTAAGAGGAAGTGGAGGGGTCAATGAGTCTAAAGACGATGTGATTACATTGAGGAGCGAGGTCACTCAGCCTTAATCGAGACGACTTGACTTAATGTGTGCTCATATACCTACAGACTTGATGTGATGCTTGTGTTTGTGGACTTTACCCAATTCACACCTAAACTTAAACATGTTTTAAAGTTGTTTTGCTAAACATAGTTTAATTTTTTTCTTCGTAGAAACTGTTTGACCTAATATTTATTGACTTAAAATGTAGCACATTGGAAATGCAAGTTAGTAAGTACTTGAATCCTACGGAAAATTAAGTTTTTCAGTTCTCTGTTTATAATTTTCATACAGTAAAAACTAGCTTAACAAACCATGTTTTGCTGGTGTTAATAGGGATTAATCAATATCAAATGTCAAGATTAATTTAATTCAATAACACTAACACCAGCTGTATAGAGAGAGTAGCAAACCTGTCTGCGTTCACATACAAATCTTATTACTTTTATGGGTGTTTTTATCCTTTTGGTATATCACACACGTTATGTTAATTACATTGAGTATTGACCATTAGACATAACTGACGTTTAAATGAAATATTTGTCACTTAGAGCATTCTGGCTGTTTTAACGTCTTTCAGTTTGCACCAAATGAATTTGAAAACACGCAGAATACGACAACTTACATTGCTCTAAGTAGAAAACTGATACAAACGAGGTTAACTCGTTTCTAAAAAGGAGAAAAATTTAACGAGCTGTGTCATTAACACACTGTAACATAGCCCTCTATTTACTCGCAATGTTATACACTCTTAACGGTCGTCGGCGCAAAATAGATTAACCGACAAAACAGGATTGCGTTTTGAACAACCAATTATGCTGAGTGGGAACCACTCTCAAAACTGTTTTCCTTCATCAGTCCTGACTGTTGTGCAGCAATACCCTCCTGAGAAGGGTCTGTTATAGGTTTCACATCACGTTTTCTTTTCCTCATGCTAAAATCAAATATTTCAAATGTCAACGTACTGAAGGTGAGATGTAACTCCTTTATTCCTTCACGTATGCACTTATAGCAAGGATTATACAAACAATTTTTAAACTTAATTTTTGTTGTCAATAGGCATGTTAAAGTGTTTTCAGCACGTCGTTGAGTTCCTCATAAGTCAATGGTGGAAATCAGAAAGTGTTAATTTTGGGTTTTTATAGGGGAACTTAGATCTTTTTCCTCCTAAGCTCTTGTTAAACATTCATCAACTTTTGTTTTCGTGATAAGATTTTTATTCTTAATCCAAAGTGTTGAAGGACAAATCAAACCTTTCTAGCTCAATAGCGTATCATGAGGTATAGCCTTTAAGCAAGAGATTCTCCACAAAATCTCATAGTCACCCTAGAAGCCACACTAAGATTCTGCGTCGGGCATTATCCTTTGATTATATTCAAGCCGCGTGATGGGTTAAGGAACCTGTCTTTGCAACTTAGAGGAAGTGATTTCAAATTTATAGAAATGATATCTTACCAGAATATTAGCAAACCAATTAGGATGATGATGACAACCACACCAATAACTACACCAATAACAATCCATTTCCAATCATCGTCTGCTGGCTCAGCTGGTCCCGCTGTTGGTGACTCAGTAGTTGTGCTGGGTTTGAATAAAGTCTCTATATCAGTGATGTTGGCTCCAATGGCTTTCTCGATGTCACTCTTGTAATCTATTATAATGGCAACCAAGGTGTCACGATGAAGAACTGAGTTATTTCCGATGAAACCACCAGCAGGCTGCTTTACGTAAAATGCTACCTGGAGAGAGTCTGATGAGTTCTTGGGGTAACCAGGCAAAAGATGAACTTCGTCAGCCGTGTAAATGTCGTAAAGAGAACGTCTGGAAAGAGAAAAGAGCAAACGAATAAGATTGAAATATGTTAGCACGTTTACGTTAGCAAACCAAAACTAGACAAACAAAAAATGAATTAAAAAGTAGATAACGATGATAATAACCATAAATAATAATAGTAATTTTGTCACTTGTTTTCACGCAGCATCTTATCCTTTCTCCTTTTTTAAGCACAATGTTTACGAAGAAGAATAAAGATGATAATTTCTTTAATATCAACAATATCAAAAAGATCTTTTTACCAAGAATATGTTTGTAGGATTATGATTTTAATTTATTTGTATGATGAGTTCTAGATGATAATAATAATAGAAGCAAGAAAAGAAAAGATATAAAGGGAAAGCGGACAGAACCAAACAAACCAAAAACCAATAAAACAAACGAAACCAGCAACAATAAAAAAAATTAAACCTTAGACACACGTAACACTTACCTATTCCGTCGTGAATTTTTAAGTCCACATTTTGTCCTGTTCTTACTGCAGAAATCTGATGCGACTCTCGCCAAAACCTCTTTAAAAGACTTGTCTCTGTTAAAATCCCATTCAGCCTGCCAAAGCAAACGTGGATAGTAATGACAATGTTTTGTTCAGAAAGAGCCCTATAAAAGAAAACAAACTAATCCTTTCTAAACTTTAATCAGAAGCACTGAGAACTTTGTGCTGGTGTCACCGCAACAACAATACAGCAGCTGGACAACAGCTTTAACATTGAAAACACTGTAAAAAGCACTCTTTTTTGGTTGTCAGTTTGGAAAAAGTGGTGTTTAGAGAGGGGAATTGCCAAGGAAATCGAGAGTTACGAGCGGACCCACCTTAGCACTTGCTCGAATGATCCTACGCCGAAATTAAAAACAAACATGGTTAAACCTCGGAAACGACGATTCCATTTCATTGAAAGGGATTCGGACACAGACTGAACAATTCCTTGAACTGTTTGGCCGGACTTTGAACTTTTTTGCGCCTTAAAGATGTGAAAATATCATTGTATACTTGTGTTTTGATCGTACGCAGTTGTTTTGACCGAACGAATGGTTTGAATAAATAGAGAATAATACATGGGCGCGCGTAGATATGGAATTTCTCTTCGAGTGTTTAACTCGATAGCTCACGAGTGAGCGCAGCGAATGAGTGAGATGTCGAGTTGAACACAAGAAGAGAAATTCCATATCTACAAGCAACCATGTCTTATTTTGTTTATCATATAAACACAATAGCCCTTTCCTGACAAGAAAAGCCGACTTCATCAATGAATGAAAATAAATGAATCGACAATCCCCGAATAACAATCGTAAAGTGCGTTGGCGCTAACTCTTAAGATGGAAAAATGCGTTGAATCATAGTTACAAAATCAAAGATGGTCGTAATTTTCAATTTACAAAATTCTCATTTATTGACTTTGTCCTTACTGACAGAAGAAGTCTTTCAGGTAAACGGCCAAAATCGACAGTTTATGTGATAAACTATTTTTGCACTTAACGTGCGCGCTTTGCTTTTGCATAATTGTGATGAGCTATCTCGTATTTTTTCATGTATATTATTAATACGTAATTACGTGCAATGTGGAATAAATAAGCTCTTGTTAATTTTCTCAAAGACCGCAAATTGCACTTACCCTACGGGCTCGTGCAATTTTGTTAATCTTTGAAAAAATTTACTTGTGCTTACTTCCAAATTGTGCTTACTTCCAAATTGCACTCGAAATCATGTGATTACCTATACAAAGCGAACGACAGTGACGACAAGTTATTAAAGAACTAAAAATGGCGCCGAGTGCATTGTTGAGTTGCATAAGCACGCGGGAATTTTTAAGAAAACGCGGGAAGCGCGGAGAAGCACTGGCCGAAGGCGAGTAAACACTTCTGCTTTTTCTTCACTGCAGTGCACATATGTGATTTTCATATATCTACAGAATTTGAAAGTTAAATGTTCAGTAAAATCCGGCCAAATTGTGGTTCATAAAAACGCGCAAATTTTTTTCACATGACAGTAAGAAAACAAACTACTGAGGGCGTGTGTTTTATAAATGGACGACAGCCGAATTCACAGGAACATGAAGATTGCTCGTGATGACAGCGACGTAAAACTCGGCTGCTCTGACTGATGTGGCCTTCCACTGAACGCATCTTAAAGGATATCAGAGCGAGCTCTTCGAGGTTTTCCCTCAAATTCTTCAGCCACCCCTCGAGTTCTTCACTTCCTTGTTTGCCATCACAACCTATGACAGCACGCGTTATACTCGAACTTCATTGTAAGTGTAATATATGCACATCTTGTGTATTGTGTTTTCCTGCGACTTCTTGACTATGATATCGTTGTCGAACAAATAAAGTTACCTACCCGACTTGGAATTGAAAACTGAACAGCCTGTTCCTTTTCGTTTTCTGATGCGTTCTTTGGTTTAGGCGGTGGTTGCTTGGGGGGTTCATGATTTTTCTCCAAACCTAGATGGTTACAAAAAATTGTACGATAAACTGAATAAATGGACAAATTCAGCTAATTTGTGTCCTAATTTACGCTGATCTAGCCTCTTAAACTACATATTTCGATTCTTACTAATAAAATAGTTGCGTGCTTTCCTCGTGTCGTGTAATTCTAGTTCACGTACGATTTGTATAAATGCATCATGTGACTGCATATACCGGAGCCAGAACTGAGTAAGTGTCACTCCCCAGTTCTCAATACTTGAGTCCAATGCGATAAAATCTAAGAGAGTTCATTCAAATAGAGAGAGGATAGCCAGATATAGGTTCTTGTTTATACATTATGCAGTCCTTCCAAAATCCGGTGGTCAGATATGTATTGCGTTAACATCTTTCTCTTAGAGAGATGAAAGTGTGTCTCTTTCTAAATAGCAATTGGTTACCTTGGCATTTTCCATCAATGAAGTACAAGTCTTGTTCACATTCACACTTGTAAGAGCCCCGAGTGTTGACGCACTTGTGGAAATCATCCGTGCAACTGTACAAGTCATCATTCAGACATTCATTGATATCTTGGTAAAAAAATCGTGATGAAATTATTAGCAATTCAAATAAAGAACCCATTTATGTGTGATCGTAATTGAGTAAAGCGGAAAACACGTGTAAGAGATAACCTTAATGAACTGGTGAGCCTTAAAGCGGGTATAGTATGAATAATTCAATCCGCCTTTCGCTTCTAAGAGTGACCGAAGATGAATTTCTCTTCACAGTTTCAATACATTTTCGAGCAGAAAGCTAATGGAAAGAAAGAAAAATAGCAATTGAGGGATATCTTTTGATTTAACAACAAATTCAAAGAACAAAAATAACAAGAAATGTATAGCAGTTGCTGTAAAGGATCGATATTTGATTAAGGAAAGTTTAAGGTATAAATGATACGAAGCAGAGACGAGGAACCTTCTGGCAGAAGTGGTGACTGCGAATCATGTTCAATCTGATATGGGTAAGTCGCAGAGTGCGAACAATTACCTTCACACTCATAGCCGTCTTTCTTCAACTCATAACCTTCCGTACATGAACAGTTATAACTTCCTTCGGTATTTATACAAGTCTGACTGCAACGATGGAGCTCTTTAGCTGGATCACATTCATTGATGTCTATACAGAGATAGAAGAAAATAATAACTTAGCAATAGGAAACAAATGTATTTGTTGGAAGTGCTTACATTTTCTAATGACAGAAATGAGCTACAGCGCCTTTTTCATACGTGTCCAGACTTGCATAGCAGGTGAAACAAAGCATGCATATTACATAATGTAAATTAGAGGAAATTAAGCAATAACTGGCTCGATTGAGACAAAATTGAACATTGTTAATCCTAAAGTTCCTCGATTATGAAGCCATTTTCATCATTTTAGTTCCAGAGATGTTCAATGAATAAAAGATCTTAAAGATACCTTTACATGTCTTTCCATCACTTTGCAGCTCGAAATTAGCATAACAAGCACAAGTTGCTCTCCCGCTGCTTCCCGTAAAGCAAACATGACTGCAGCCATAATCAGAAGTACATGGGTTTTTAGCTGTGAGAGAAAGTCATTGGAAATAATACAGGTAAGAGGTCAGGCATGTCATTGTTGTTATTTCGGTTTGGTGAAAGGAAATTGTGAAGAATGATAGTCATCTTTTTTAACTCCTTAAATTTCAAGTTTATCCTGTAATCCTTTATTTTGACAGAATTTTATAAATAAATTATTTCACGGTTCTGGAGAATGTACCACGTGGAGTATTCGTATAAAGGTCCTCCTCTTGCTTGAATTGGCTGGATTCCTCTTTATTTCTTTAGTAGAAAAGGACTGCGCGTATTTACGACGTTGCTATAGCTAGGGAACTAAGCTATCAACTTTTCCGTTTGATAACACAGACATTTCTGTTACCATTCAATGTTATCTGATAAGCATACGTGGTTAGTGAGCACATTTCCTGCCTAAAAGAAAAAAACTTCCCCGGAAAATAAGTCCTTACCTGTTGGCATTCGCATAAACAATGAATAGCTATATTTTTAGTCCTCAGAAATGAACCACTTACCAACACACTTCCTCCAATCAGTTGGGTCAGTTTTAAAATATTCGTCACATGAACAGTTATAACTTCCCACACTATTATTGCATTTCTGCATACAGTCATTAGTCGGAAGGCATTCATTAATATCTAAGAGAAATAAATGGTACTCATTATCAGTTGTTGCCGTTGCAAAACTCTGTTTTGTAGGGAAAAAGTTAATAATAATTCTATTGATGTTGCTATTGAGCATGAAAACGATGATATTTTATATTCAGAATATCCGCCAAAACGACTCTTCGCCTGTGAATTATATACTGCAAACATTAGAAGGAAAGCCCTTCTTAATACCGAAGAGAGGGCGTGCTTTAAATAGATTTTTCATAGAATGTAATTTATAGTCTGAACAGCTTCTTGTTTTGGGAGGCAAAAAATCTAAATGTTTGCAACAGAGTGCTGCAAAGTATTTTTTTCCGATGCTGTGGGTGCCTTGATCAAGTGGAGATTTCTAACAGGATTTACATTCAGTACCTGGAAAAAAGGCCTCGTAATGACTTATACTGATACCGCACGAAACGAGGCGGGATTGGCTCGATCGTCGCGATCTTGGCGCATATGATTATGGTAACTGGAAACCGGGAGAACTCGTTCGGCAGGTATCGAGATGCAATGATCTCATAGACTGCGGTCTAGTTACAAATTTCATTACTTAACGGATAGAACATTTATGATAGTAACTGCTTTGCTTCAGAATAGCCAACCAAAGTACCCATTCAAATCAGTCTGTTGATTAGCGCTACAATATCTAATTTGACTTTTTTACCACCACAGCTGCGCCCGTCATCGTTCAGCTTGTATCCATTGTCACAATCACAGAAAAAAGAAGCTGGAACATTAACACATTTCTGCTTGCACGGGTTACTTTGGCATTCGTCGATATCTAATGAAAATTGCACAAAATTGGTAATTTAGTATTAGGCCTCTTCAGTACAATTTACAGTCAAATTAGTTTTATAGATAGCTTCTGAAATTTTCGCTCATTCAATCGTGCATGGCTAATGCTAAGGAACATATAAATAGTACAAAAAGATTCTGTTGAAAACTAAGAGTACTGAAAATGAAAATGTTAAACCCCGCAAACAAAATTTTAGAAGTTCTGGTTCGACCCATAAATGAAAAAGAAATTTCCTCTTGTTTTGCTTGAGATTTTGTTCGTTTTTGGTCGAAACAAGGATTGTACTCTGAAAGACCTACTGTTGTGCTCTGATCTGCCGTATCCTTTAGTTGCATTCGATAAACCTCAAGCTCTTCCTGCCAAATCATCCACATGCCAACCCACCTACACACTGAGCTCCATCACCGTTGTACCCTGATGGACAGGGTCCACATTCATATCCAGTGGAATTAGCTGGTGGAGGAAGATCAGTGCAATCAACTCCCGCGTAGCACGGCTGACCATTCACTTCGCAGGCATCAATGTCCCTGTCACAGAACCTCCCTGTGTAACCTCCCTGACATTCACAGCCCATGTATATAAACTTGCTGTCAGTATTATTTGCGTCGCCTTCTTCTGGTTCCACGCACTGACCATCATGTTGGCAGGCGCACATTTTGATGATCGGACTCCAAATGGCGCTGGCATCTTGGTCGTCAACAGCAACGAAAGTCAGGCTGAACTACGAGGGAAAAAACTTATTTTATGAACGTTTTTAAGCTTTGTTTTTGTTTTTCAGCCACGACCATTTTCAACCATCAAATTCTCACTTTAAGTGCCGTACGTTCAGCAAAAATTACTACAGTTACCGAGAGATTTTGAACTGTTTATGTTCTCTTGCAGTTATGTATGAGAAGCCTTTGAGCCGTTTTTCATGTAGGTCTGCTCTGGCTTCTTTCGAATATGTAAGAATTGTTGGGTCAGGCCCCTACGAAAATGGAAATATGACCATTCGTCGTTCAGAGTTAATAACTTCGCAACGTTTTCCTAGGTAATAGAAAATGTTTCGATATGATTGTAAAAGTAAGAATGATATCTACGTTTTTGCTTAGGTATGCATTTTTAAATACATACTAAATAAGTGATTAAAAATCACTTTTTTAGTTATATAACTTTCTATTGATTTATTTTTTCATCTACCTCTCTATCTTAAAAAGATAGTATTTTTTATTTCAAGTTTATGAAGTATTTTATGACAGTACGATATATTTTGCCTTGAGTTTCTTCAGTTATAAGAGTAATTTTGACTTCTTCTCCGATCTTTTCCGATGTATTTCTAATTGGTTATATCAGTAACTAAACATTATTTCTTGTGACTGTAGAATAACTCTAATTATGCTTATAAAATAATTAAGAGATGACTGCTTGATCCAGGGAGAAGGTTTGGGATCATAGCTTATACCTTCTTTGATGAAGTAGCATTCCAGTAAAATAACAGAACAGCCCCAGTTTGGTTCCAAGTGGCTCCCACAGGTTTGTTAATCACTCGAAAAGTGATAGTGCCATCGTCCACAGCTGTTATATTCAGTTCAACTATTTCGTGAAGTGTGACGTTTATTATTTCGGAAGTGTTTACTATCTTGGGTGGAAAGTTGTCTGTGAAGGCAGAGAAAATGTTTTTCGCTTAATATCTTTAAGAATGTAGGTTTCTTAATCCAGTGCAGGCCGAAAGACCATAAGGTCATTAACTTAATTAAGATCAGTTTGAAGATCACTCTGTTTTCTTCTCCATATTGTTGTAGTGGATGACAGGAGCTCATTTTTCTCTTTCTAAGGGACATTATGAATGAAGAAAGAAATGTAAAAAACCAAAAGAAAACAAAAACTGGTTAATTTACTCACTGAGTTTTTTCGTGTCATTCACCAGCTGAACGCTAATTTCTTTGGTTGCCGAACCAATAGACAAGTCTTTTGTGGAAGCCACGTCAAACAGACATTCGTGATCATCTCCACATTGTGCTTCAGCTTTCTGTTTTAGACTGTCATTATGCCACTTGATGTTATCAGCAAACATGGGCTCAAATTCAGGGTCCGAATAAGTGGCCACGCTTTCATTATCAGCATAAGTGAAAAGAGACTGGGATTGGTTGATTTGCCCTAGAAGATATTATCATTAATCAGTATAATTGCTCAGGTAATTATAGAGATGGGAGCGCTCTGATTGGTCGAGAATTGCGTCATGTCTCGCTATAATCACCTTCTGCGAAGTGATTATGGCAGGGGCGCTAGACTTTAAAGGGGCTGTCTCGCATTTTGTCAATGTTTCCGAGGAAGTGATATACGCGATAGCAAAAAATTCAATTGCGAAGAGCTACTGAGTTAGGCAGAAAACTTTTCAAAAGAAAGATATGAAGTTTTTGCTGATTTAATTAGCAAGTTTACTCAAGTTGAGTAAACTTGCTAAACTCCTTGCTTATCCTGATACGAGTACTCATCACGATTGTACCAAAATATGCTCAATGCATTCTCTATATAAACAGGCTCGGTAATTATTGTTGAATATTCCCCTCGGCTTTGTCTCGGAGATTATTCAACAATGTTCACTTTGCCTTCGGCGATTAATTGTCAAGTAAGGCAAGAATGGGTAAGATAAATTTAAAAGATACGAAATTATTTTAAAGTAAGACTAGTAAAGTTAAAACGGACCGAAAAATATATCCTCCCTTAACCTGCCTATATGACTAATAGAACAAGCTTCTATTTCCATTTTTCATTTGTTTCTTAATTTTACCGCCAAACTTTCTCACATTTAATTATACAGCGTGGTAGATAAACGGTTGCTTTCTGGTAACTTTTCTCTTTCCTAAGAGTGGCGACTGCTCTCTGGTAATCATTTATATTCTGTGAGACTAATGTCTTCTGCATTTGCAAGATCTCTTTTAAAAGGCATTGTCCTTACTTGCAAGGCGAGCAACAATACAATAACAAGAGACGGTCACACGCCACATAGCAGTACGTACAAACGCTAAGAGCCAAAACACAAGGATCAATCCTCGATCCTTAGCATTTGCCATATTTGCTGTGAGGAAGTTTAATGCGTTTCATATTATATAATATGGTACTTACATTTGACTCCAAATCCGTAGTGAATCTCTTTTAATGATGACGTCGATGGCAAAACCGTCCCGTTCGGCAAAGTAAAGTCATCGTTAGGGTCATCGTTCCATGTTCCCAGCAATCCTTTTGTGGCGTTTTTTAAGACATCACCAAGAGTTACAACAAACGACATCATTTCCTTATTCTCGCAGAACTGTACTGATGATGTTGACGGAAAAGAAACTTGTAAACAGTTTTCCTCTGGTTTTGAGATGGAAAGATTTCCACCAACCTCCACAGTTCGATTCGTTAAATTGTTGTAGCCATTATAGGGTGTACTGTCAATCAATATATGGAGGCCACCTAACAAAATTAAATAGCAAGAGTTGGATTCTATTGATTCTAAATTGAACACTACCTTAAGAAACTCTTTGCGGTGGTCGATTTACATCATCAATTCAGATGATAAAACCAAATTTTCCTTATTAAACTCCCCAACGACACAATACAACAGTTTTTTTTGTAATATTACCCCTTTAGAGGCTTTTTCCTGAATGAAAAACTCTTCATAGCATTCTCACCTCCGTCTTTCACTCGAACCTCGATGGTGCTCGAGTTTTTTTCTTTAGCAGCTCCTGCTGAGAAGATTGTTGCTGTGGTTGAATTTCCTTGAGCAAGTTTTGTTCTGGCCTGAAGATTAAATGTTCCATTTTCTGCATCCACCATAGTGTATTCACCAAGACCGTTAAACGTGTAATTCCCACCGTCCAGTGTCTTGATATGCGGATCACCCCAGAACCATCCTGTATTAAAAGAGAAACACTCCCCTCAGTTTGTTTGTGTTGCAAAGAATCTGAACTATATAGAACAAGTGGTTTGAGCCCAGGAGGAAAAGTTGAAAAAGCTCTTACTAGACAACTCTCCAATATCTAACAGTTACGAAAGGTAACCTTTAATTCCAATATAATTTTATATGACCCGTGGCTTAAATTAACAAAAACTAAATGGTACAACAACGTTTCGTACATCTTTGATACAACTAACATTATGCAAAACTTACGTCTGATTGGAGGCCTATAGAGCGAGCAGCTATCAGACGGACGATAAGCATAGAACAAATGGCAGAAAGGTAAATCCACACAGCAATACTGGTAAGCCTCTTCGTCTGTGTAAAAGGTTTGAACGCGATTGTACCAGTAATAGTAAAGTGTCACTTTTACTCGTCCACCATCAGGAGGTCCCTGCTTGAGAGAGCCCCAGTCTTCCCATTGCGTGGAGTAACAGCATTGTTGTCTCATTGAAACACCAACTAGTCCAGTACTCCTGGTGTAGAGATAAAAGAACCTGGATCTTCTGGAATCAAAACACCAATCTGGCCATGAGTTCCACCAACTCCATCTGAATCGCCCCCAATCAAACCACGCCTGCCACCCAGTACAAGGGCAAGCCATTTCCCGGTCTGATTCTATGAGTCGTTTATACCAGTAACGGAATCTCAGGTGTTCATTAAGTATGGCCCAACTAAAGCATTTCTCCAGTGCACCTTCTCCATCGCTGTTTTCAATTCTCCAAAAGTATCTTCCCTGCACACCCGTGTTTCCTTCCTTCTTATCGAGGTCATACATTCCAAATGTACCAGAACTACAATCACAAACATTTCACTCAAAAACAATCTTTCGCTATCGTCATTTTTAGTAATTAGAATATAGGGTCGAGATTTCTATCGGTTCGCAGTGAGTGAGGACAAGATTCGAATGATCTTTCGCGCACAGAAATCAATAGCGAATAAATTAATAGTTATTAAACGTTTGAAGTTGTCCTTCTGTAGCATGTTGATTAAATGGATGATTCGATTGAGGCCTTCAGCTACTGTATTTATTTTTTGTTCAAAGCTTTCGCCGATGCACGGCATCGTCAGGGAATGTCTGATACTACAGATCGGTGAAAGCTTGGAATAAAAAAGAAATACATTAGTTCAAAGGCTTAATCAGATTGTCCATTTAATTATTATTGCATAGATTTAATGGTTATTCAAAACTTAACAAAAAGAAAGGCGTAACTTTTTTATTAATAATAAGACAAGTAAATCAAAATTTAGTCTACCTTCTTTTCTCGCTAACTATAATAGAATAGATGACGAGTAATATAGCCAATTAGATTGCATCACTCGTGATAAAACGCCAATAGATTTATTATACTGATAGCAATTATATGTACAATGATTTTTGGGGTTCTGTAACAGATTTCAGATTAAATTTACACCCATCTGTACCAATTACAATAGGTGGATGAAAATTCCCTGAATTGGCAAACAGTTCGGGATGGTTATTAGATTTGATAACCACGTGACGTCACAACATGGCGAGAATTTCGGCAATCAAAGATTTTCGTACCCAATGCAAAATGTTCGCCGTTTATTCATTATTATTTGTCGTATTCCTCAATCTTTTTCGTTCAATGCAACTGTTAATCATTGTGATACAAACTGCATGAAAAAAGTGCATGGTGTGTGTTGCGTTTTGTAAAGGTTTTATTTTTGGGCTTCCTTTCTACCGATTCACTCACATTCAAGGAGCAATCATTGAAGCACATGGCATTACCATATTGGGAAGTGTCAATCACACATCCCCCTTTCTACAAAAAAGATACTACTCTGATACTATGCGAAGTGTTATAAGAAAGTGTCCTAAGACCTTATAGAATGTCCCTGTCGGGTTAACGAAAGTGAAACAAAACGTTTACTCAATGTCTATCCATGTTCGGACGGAGTGTTCGAAAGTTCGAAAGTTTTAGAATGTTTTTATTATCTGTTGGTGTTCCTTGATGACAGTAAGTTGGAGCATGACCTAGCACGTTTGCAAGTGAAGGAGACATATTGTCTCTTCGCTCTGCTGTGTCAGTAATAGGTTCAATGCTGGTTCAGTAATGGGTTCAACATTGTGTTTGTATTTTTCGTCTCGACTTACGTATTCCTGGTCCAAAATGGGTTTCAATTTGCGCTTCCATAATCTACCTTGAGGCTTGGCGTTCGCCGTGTTGGAGCGAGGAATATCTCGGAGAAGTGGAGAGAAGGCTTTCACTGGTCAAATCAGAAATGGAAGAGGATGGAGTGGAAGCGGCCGCGGAGGTACGTTAAGTGCGTAGCAGTACGGATTTCCAACTTCTTACATGTTTCGAGAAGCTTTTATTCAAAGCGACCCTCCCATTTTACACGATTGGAAACACGCCATGATTTCATCCTTCTTTTCACCGATGGGCTAAAGCCGTTTGTTATTTGGACGATTCACTTGCGAAGTGACCGTATCAGTTAAAATAAACTTTTTTTTCGCATAGATTTATATTTGGAACGTACCGAGACGAGCGTTGAAGAACCTGGGGCTTCGCTGTCCGCCAAGAAAGCAAAATAATACAAATGGAAACGATTGAGATTTAGAAAAAAGAAGACGAAGCCATCGTATTTTTCAAATCTAAAACAGCTCGAAATTTTACCTTTCCGTTTGTACAATTTAAGTCACGATCACAAGTTCCAATCGAAAACAATTGAATTAGTAAACTCAGGGATTCGGCCTTCGGACGCCATGTTGAATATAGTATTGTTGCCTCAGTAACATGTCACGTGAAAGTGAATCTGAGCAGCGATTGGTTACTGTTTTGACAAATTAAAAATTTTAAAGAATCGTCGAGAAAATTTTACGCGTAAACATAATCCTTTTCGAGTTGGTCACCTGGATGAAAATTCCCAGCTTTTGGCTGCTAACCTGGCCCTTTCAAATCAGTTGCCTTTGTGGAAGAATTTTTGGGTTCCAATTATGCTGTTTCATTGTATTTTCAAACGCCATTGACTGATTGCAATTGTTTGTCAAATTCGATTCATCTTACCCTTTTATATTGAAATAATTTTCGCCACCGTTCCCTGCGTTCCAGCCAGCAACAGGAAGACCATAGTAGCTCGTCCAGTAACGGTAGTTATTCCTGCAAATGTTCGTGAAAATCCTTACTGTTACGTATTTCTCTCAACTGTCTTTCCTGGTCTCATGAATTTCTGGTTCTTCGGCGATGCACTTTCTTTCATCGCAAACTATTACACATTCCAATTTTTTCTTCTAATCGAAAGCAATTCTTAAGCCCTTTAATTAATTTCATATTGCAGCTCTTGATAAAGAGTGCAGATGGTTAATAGGAAGAATTGGTAAACCAATTTGAAACCAAGAAATCATGAAAAAAGACCATAGTGTAGTCTCAATGGATGTGTCAGGCATAAATACCAAAGAATGCTAGTGGGACCTACTAATGTCAGACAAAGTTTAAAGTTATTTCGGGTTTACCTGATAAGCAATTTAATATATGTTTTTATATTCTGAATTTGATTTTCAATTAGGGACTTAGGAAACTTACGGATCTGCGTCGACCACCCACTGAATTCCTCCATAGGGATAATTATACATCAAGAATGTGTTAAATCCATTCGTTATCAGGACAGCTTGGAATGTATTACTCTGGAAAACAATAAAAACGTAGAAACTCTTCGGATTTTGATATTTTGAACTAGATCTAAATATTTCCTGATAGATGTATTTTTACCATGAATGCAGCAAGTCAAGTTAATACACTACGTTATACTTCATGACTCATACGTACAGTCATCACTTCTGGGTTGATAATGTTAAGGAATTAAGTGGAGTATGGATTAGAGAGTTATCGGGATTGTTACTTAAAATAACTTGCAATTTTCTCCTAAATGTTGGCAGGCAAATTTTCGTCTCTTGATGTTCGATTGTTAAAAAATCTGTAAAGTATGGTCAATCTTTCCTCAGCCCGGTTCGAACTCTCGCCGAGCCGACAAATAAAAGACAATAAGAGAGAATTAAATGAAAATCCCTGCTGTTTTTCGCATTTTTTGTGCTTGTCCAGGATTTAACGCAGTCGTCAAATCAACAATTCAGACTCTGTAGGGTCCAATTGATAGTTAGCAACTATATGTCACTAACCTATATGGTTATCTTTGAGTTATGATAATTAAAAAAGTGTAAATGCTTACTCGCGAACACTTCAACTGAAAATCCTTCTCGTTGATATTTTGGTAGTAATAGTAGTATGGATAATAAGCGTAGGGACAGAGCTTTTCCCACGTCACAACCAGGACCCAAGTGGCTTCAAAGTCGTTAAATCCTCCGGTGTAGCTCTTTACATGTTCTGAAGCCATAGCCAGAGTTTCATTTGACTTTTCGTGCGTTTGGTTGTACACTTGATAATACACCTTTGAATGATTGTATCTGAATGCAAAATAAGTATCAGTTGTGGCCCAAAAGGGCGCAATAATACCCATGTTTCTAAACCACCAGTAGACACCAAATTTACGAGGCCACCACCAGCTCCAATCATAATTCAACTGAATCATACCATTTCGACAAATCTAATAAAAGAGGAAAACAAAGATGTCAAATTTTACAATATTTAAACAGTAGCCTCGGCATAGTTTCTGGATGAGTAACGCCCTGGTGAAACATTTTGGCCAAGTACTGTGTCAGCGTTAGCTACAAGCAGATTGATCATAAAAAAAATCTAAAAGAGAAACAAAATAAATCCGTTAAGAAAAAAAAAAACATGTTTCCGATCCGCCTTTGGACTCTTATGCATTTGTGGAACTGTAAAGGTAATTCACGGAGAAAAATTTTAGCAAAGATTTGGAGAGTGGTCCTCCTTTTCTCATTATTTCTCTACCGCAGCAAGGGCACGTCATTCCTCCACGGAAAGTCTATTTGCCATTAAACCCTCCCTACATTAACTTTATAGAAAGAAAAAAGATGCACTACAGAAAGGGGCCCGATGAAGAGCCAAAAAGGCAGCATATCACAGAAAGTTTAGGTTACATACGTTATTGCGTGTGGTATTGTACAAGCAGTCCAGGGATCTTTACGCGTTTTTGGCATAAAACGAAAGTTACCCTCCTTTTGAGAATTTAAAAAACATCTGTTCCCTTAGCTCACCTGTCTACAATTTTCTTAGAAAAAGTCGATTATTACATCTTAATTAAACTTTTTACTCACATATAGCTTGTAATGCCTCTCAGAGAAAAACGGAATTCCAGTCCAGTCTGTTTGGATCTTCCCACAGCGGTAGGAGTAGTAGTAGTAGTAGTAAGGAGAATCGTCCAGACCAAATTCATTGTCCTTCTGCTGCGGTCCGTAGGGATACATAGGGGACGGAGCTATGATTGAAGAAATTGTAGAATTGAAGAAAACCCTTGTAGAAATTAGCAAGAATATCTAAGGGGGGAGCGTTAACAAAAAGCTAAAAAAATTAAGAATTCGACGAGGGTGGAAAACCACTTTTTGTTTGCTGGAAAGCAAGCAATGGGCATCTTTCCCAAACAAGCTATTTACCCTTCTTTCCCAACAAGCTATTTACACCCTTAGCCACTGACGTTTTACCTTTGAAAATCCGGAGAGAAGATCTACGGAAACGAAACATAGGCTGATTGGATTTCATTTGGAAATACTGCGATAGTATTTACCTAAAATTTGGAAATTAGAAAAAAAGGCTGTGCCGTGAAACCAGACCTTTGTTGGGTAGAAAGAGTTATTAACTTATTAACAACGGTGGCTGATGGCTATTGGACCGCAAACAGCTGGCGTTTTTTTGTTCAAACAAGATCGACTTTAAATCGCACTGATTAAAAGGAAGAAAAGTTTTACAACTTACTCTTTGAAGCAGAAATACTCATACTGCTACTTGGCGAAGGGAAAACTGTTGATCTGTTACATGGGCAATAACACACAGACGAAGTCGAAGACGAGGATATTTTGTATGTGTTGGTGGATGAAACCGTTTTCAGCCCGACGCTTGATGCAGAGGATGTAGGGCTCCTAGAATCATACCACAACGAAGACGTTCGTCCTGGAACTGGAGAATCTTGCATTAAACTGGAAGATGCCTGAAGTGGAAGGCTCTCTGAACCATACACCGACCATGATTTTTCTGCGTAAACTGAAGGACTTTGTGTAAATACACTGGATGCGGAAGATGAAAGGTTCTTTGAAACATACACCGACGATGAGTTTTCTCCTGAAAATGAAGCAGTTTGCGCGAAAACCATGGATGTGGAAGATGCAAGGCTCTCTGAATCATACAGCGACCATGAGTTTTTTCCTGAAACTGAAGCAGTTTGCGCAAAATCCATGGATACGAAGGATGAAAGGCTCTCTGAATCAGATACTGACGGCGATTTTTCTGCTGAGAACGTAGAACTTGTGTCACATGGACACTCACACAGTGAGATATGATCAACCACGCTGGAAGGAGCTGTCAATTTGAAAGAAACACAAATAGTTAATTCTGGTCTTAACTGATTAAGTGAACTAAAAAAGGGCGCTTTCCCCTCTCCATCACACTTCTAAAATGGCCAATCAAGTTGTCCCTGTCTAAAGTGGCGACTGAAAGGTGAGTGTTACGGTAATTTTACCGACTCAGTACACATTTTTGGACATAATCGTTTGGCCGGCTGGTAATGCTGAAGTTGCACCAAAGTCGTGTTGACAGAGTTTACGGTTTCAGGGGGATCTTTTAATATTTAACAAAACAAAAAGAAACTTATCAGCGATAACTTGTGTTTTACGAAGCTATGCAGCCACATCTATCTATCGTTCCCAACTATTTTTTATCCTGTTTCATTTATTGACGTGTGTTATATTGTCAAGATTTTAAGTAGTAGCCCTACTCCCGTTTCTTATTGCATTATTTGCATTGTATTTTGTTCGTTCGTTTTAAACTTGGGGTATCCATTGAATGAAAACATCTGAAGCAATACTCATTGACTCACTCGCAATTCTCGAGGTCTCCATGGAAGGGGTGCTGCCTCCGTGGAGCAAAGATGAACTTGTTCTCACTGATTCATGACTTGAAAAGCTTGAACTTGCTGATACTTGCTCGATAGACGAATTTGAAAAGCTTTTTCCAATACTTGATGTAGTGCTAGGTGTAATACTTGGCGACTGAGATAGGCCTGGAACGATCAAGAAGACAGGCAGTTTGAACTTAATCTCCAACAAAAGATTATCATTTCTGAATGGATCAAAGTAAAACGTGATTCAACATTTCTAGTCTCTCGTAAATAATCAATTAAACAGGTTGTACGCTGAAAGGGCGTTCTTTATTGTGCCAGCACTGTCTTTAACACTCATTGAGAGGTAAAGTGGAGTTCCCGAATGATATATTCTTCTCTACTGAGTCTACCAGGTAAAAAAAGGTATCGTTTTATTTTGTTTCTCATCTTATCAAATAAATGACCTAAACTTTAGGTATAAGTTATATAAAAGTCTTAAAAACATTTACCATCGTTTCTTGCTTATTTTTTGGTTTCTTTTTAACCCGTTCATTTTAAGACATGAAGCTGTATCCATTGCCATGACGTTTAGGAAGTATCATCACTTTTTTTATATTTTTTTATTGGAGACGAAACAGTTCCAATGAAACAGGATCTCAATGGGGTTATGGCTTTTACAGCTAACGGTTAAAATTTTGGCGACTTTATGGCTAACGCTTAGGGTTAAAAACATTCCATTTTTGTCACTTTTAATTGGTTTTTAACGGTTAGCATTTTTTTACGACTAACGGTTAAAACATGTCAATTTTTACGCCTAACGGTAAATTTTTGGCCGTTGTACGGCTATCGGTTAACTCTATCTAGACGGCTATCGAGACCCCCATTAAGTAAAAATGTCTAAGAAGACCGCAGAAAAATCGAAAAAACGAACAGCACTTGGTCGGAAAGTTGAACTAATATTTTTTCCTGGGATTCCCAATGGTGAGATTAAAATGGCGATGTACTCATATTGCACACATCTATCTGCCTCTGTTTCTTAATATTTCAGAAATCTGTTGAATGGCGGAAGTCCATGTCCCAAGAAAGGGCAAGTAAATCGTTCTAATTTGCTCATCAAACAAGGCACCCAAAGGAAAGAACTTACCTTCAGAAATTAGAGATTGTGTAGGGAAAACTGCAGACGTAGAACTGTCAAGGATTATGCTCGGAGTGGGCTGGATGCCAGGCACGGCTACATAGGCCAAAGAAAAAGAAAGGTCATAATGGTGGAAAGATCAAATACACTTTAAGACAAAAGTGTTATTACAATAAAATGCGATGGACTCACAACCATATTTCTTCCGAAGGAATCATTTCACGATCCTGAGATTAGTAATAACTTAAACATGTCAGCCAAATCCGTCTATTTATTACTGCATCGTAGAAAGACTTGCATACTTGATTTAAGACTCCTAATAGTAATTGAAGACACTTAGAGTTTGAATTCATATTGCCCTCTACTACGCCATGAACTTAAAGTCTTACCCCGGTATTTTGATCCCTCAAATTAATGATGTATGTGTAGCCATACTTACAAGACGTGACCTCGGATGATACGCTGATAGTAGTGCCCAAAGAGCCTAAAACAGTTACAAACATCAGGCTTTATGAGAATTTTGACGAAAGAATCAGTTTCAATGTAAGAAGCTTGGCATAGACTATAGGTGGATATACATGGAGTATAAATGTCTCAGAGGGTCGCAGAAAAATCGAAAAAACGTGCGGCACATGGTGGAAAAATGCAAAGACTAAAATTTTCCCTTAGGATTCTCCGTAATGAGCTAACAATCGCTGTGTACTTACATTTTAGAGATCTGCTTCTATTTCAGTTCTTAAGAATTACAGAAAACTGTAAAATGGCGGATGTCAGTGTCCCAAGAAATGGTGAAAAACTGTGCTTATCAAATGCACAATGCACTAACAGAAAGGAAAACTTTGAAACTTACTTTCCGAGGCAGAAATAAGGCTTGGTAAAGGGACAACTGTAGACGTGGAACCGTCGAGAAGTAAGCTTACAGTGGACTGGATGTCAGGCACGGCTACATAGGCCAAAGAAAAAGGAAAGTCATGATGGCTGAAAGATCGAATGTTAAACGTTGCGATGTACTGGCAACAATATTTCTTTCGAAGGAATTATTTCACGATTATGAGTTTAACAATAACTTAAACATGTCAGCCAAATCCGTCTATTTATTACTGATTCGTAGAAAGACTTTCTTACTTGATTTATGACTCCCAATAGTAATTGAAGACACTTAGAGTTTGAATTCATATTGCCCTCTACTACGCCACGAACTTAAAGTCTTACCCCGGTATCTTAATCCTTCAAATTAATGATGTATGTGTAGGCATACTTACAAGACGTGACCTCGGATGATACGCTGATAGTAGTGCCGAAAGAGCCTAAAACAGTTGAAAACATCAGGCTTTATGAGAATTTTGACGAAAGAATCAGTTTCAATGTAAGAAGCTTGGCATAGACTATAGGTGGATATACATGGATATACATGGAGTAGAAATGTCTTAGAGGATCGCAGAAAAATAAAAAAAACGTGCGGCACATGGTTGAAAAATGCAAAGACTAAAATGTTCCCTTAGGATTCTCCGTAATGAGCTAACAATCGCGATGTACTAACATTTTAGAGATCTGCTTCTATTTCAGTTCTTAAGAATTACAGAAAACTGTAAAATGGCGGATGTCAGTGTCCCAAGAAATGGTGAAAAACTGTGCTTATCAAATGCACAATGCACTAACAGAAAGGAAAACTTTGAAACTTACTTTCCGAGGCAGAAATAAGGCTTGGTAAAAAGACAACTGTAGACGTGGAACCGTCGAGAGGTAAGCTCGCAGTGGACTGGATGTCAGGCACGGCTACATAGGCCAAAGAAAAAGGAAAGTCATGATGGCTGAAAGATCGAATATACTTTAACACAATGGTGTTATTACAATAAAATGCGATGTACTCGCAACAATATTTCTTTCGAAGGAATTATTTCACGATTATGAGTTTAGTAATAACTTAAACATGTCAGCCAATCCGTCTATTTGTTAATGATTCGTAGAAAGACTTTCATACTTGATTTAAGACTGCTAGTAGTGAATAAAGACACTTAGTGTTTGAATTCATATTTCCCTCTACTACGCCATGAACTTAAAGTCTTACCCCGGTATTTGAATCCCTCAAATTAATGATGTATGTGTAGGTATACTTACAAGACGTGACCTCGGATGATACGCTGACAGTAGTGCCGAAAGAACCTAAAACAGTTGAAAACATCAGGCTTTATGAGAATTTTGACGAAAGAATCAGTTTCCATGTAAGAAGCTTAGTATAGACTATACGTGGATATACATGGAGTGGAAATGTCTAAGAGGATCGCAGAAAAATCGAAAAAACGTGCGGCACATGGTGGAAAAATGCAAAGACTAAAATTTTCCCTTAGGATTCTCCATAATGAGCTAACAATCGCGGTGTACTAACATTTTAGAGATCTGCTTCTATTTCAGTTCTTAAGAATTACAGAAAACTGTAAAATGGCGGATGTCAGTGTCCCAAGAAATGGTGAAAAACTGTGCTTATCAAATGCACAATACACTAACAGATAGGAAAACTTTGAAACTTACTTTCCGAGGCAGAAATAAGGCTTGGTAAAAAGACAACTGTAGACGTGGAACCGTCGAGAGGTAAGCTCGCAGTGGACTGGATGTCAGGCACGGCTACATAGGCCAAAGAAAAAGGAAAGTCATGATGGCTGAAAGATCGAATATACCTTAACACAATAGTGTTATTATAATAAAATGCGATGTACTCGCAACAATATTTCTTTCGAAGGAATTATTTCACGATTATGAGTTTAGTAATAACTCAAACATGTCAGCCAAATCCGTCTATTTGTTAATGATTCGTAGAAAGACTTTGCATACTTGATTTTAGACTGCTAGTAGTAAATGAAGACACTTAGTGTTTGAATTCATATTTCCCTCTACTACGCCATGAACTTAAAGTCTTACCCCGGTATTTGAATCCCTCAAATTAATGATGTATGTGTAAGCATACTTACAAGACGAGACCTGGGATGATACGCCGACAGTAGTGCCGAAAGAGCCTAAAACAGTTCCAAACATCAGGCTTAATGAGAATTTTGACGAAGGAATCAGCTTCAATGTAAAAAGCTTAGTATAGACTATACGTGGATGTACATGGAGTGGAAATATCTGAGAGGGTCGCAGAAAAATCGAAAAAACGTGCGGCACACGGTGGAAAAGTGCAAAGACTAAAATTTTCCCTTAGGATTCTCCATAATGAGCTAACAGTCGCGGTGTACTTATATTGCAGAGATATGCTTCTATTTCAGTTCTTAAGAATTACAGAAAACTGTAAAATGGCGGATGTCAGTGTCCAAAGAAATGGCACAAAACTATGCTCATCAAATGCACAATGCATCCCTAGAGAGGAAAACTTTCGAACTTACTTTCCGAGGCAGAATTAAGGATTGTTGAAGGGACAACTGCAGACGTGGAACCGTCGAGAGGTAAGCTCGGAGTGGACTGAATGCCAGACACAACTAAATAGGCTAAAGAAAAAGAAAAGTCATGATGGCTGAAAGATCGAATACACTTTAAGACAATAATGTTATTACAATAAAATGCGATGGACTCAAATCCATATTTCTTCCGAAGGAATCATTTCACGATCCTCAATAATGTAAACATGTCAACCAAATTCGTCTATTTATTACTGATTCGTAGAAAGACTTTCATACTTGATTTATGACTCCTAGTAGTATTCGAAGACACCTAGTGTTTGAATTCATACTGTCCTATGTTACAACATGAACTCAAAGTCTTTTCCCGGTATTTCAATCCTTTAAATAAATGATGCTTGTGTAGGTATACTTACAAGAGGAGACCTCTGATGATACGCTGATAGTAGTGCCGTAAGAACCTAGAACAGTTACAAACAGCAGGCTTTAGTAAAATAATAAATATTTAGTAATATTTCAGAAATCTGTTGAATGGCGGAGGTCCATGTCCCAAGGAATGGCAAGTAAATCGTTCTATTTTGCTCATCAGACAAGGCACCAAAAGAAAAGAACTTACCTTCAGAAACGAGGGATAGTGTAGGGACAGAAGGGACAACTGCAGACGTAGAACTGTCAAGAATTATGCTCGGAGTAGACTGGATGCTAGGCACAGCTACGTTGGCCCAAGAAAAAGAAAGGTCATGATGGCGGAAAGATCGAATACACTTTAACACAATAATGTTATTACAATAAAATGCGATGGGCTCAAAACCATACTTCTTCCTGAATAATTATTTCACGATCCTGAGCTTCACAATAACTTAAACATGTCAGCCAAATCCGTCCTTTTATTACTGATTCGTGGAAGGACTTTCATACTTTATTTAAGACTCCTAGTTGTAATTGAAGACACTTAGTGTTTGAACTCATATTGCCCTCTATTACGCCATGAACTTAAAGTCTTACCCCGGTACTTTAATCCTTCAAATAAATGATGTATGTGTATATGTGTAAGTATACTTACAAGTTGGATCCATGGCTGATGTTGATAAGCCACAGGGGCAATAACATATAGAAGAAGTCACAGACGATGATATGTTGTCCGAACTGTTTGCATTGCTTTGCGTTTTATAAGTGGATGAAACATTTTGCGCTGAAATACTGGATGACCGACCATATAGCGAAGACGCATTTTGTGTTGAAACAGTCAAATCAGGGCCACAAGGACATTCACACACTGAGACAGTGCCGTAAGAAGCTAGACAAATTACAAACAGCAGGCTTCATGAGAATTTTGACGAAAGAATCAGTTTCAATGAAAGAAGCTTGGTATAGACTAAAGGTCATGATGGCGGAAAGATCGAATACACTTTAAAATAATAATGTTATTACAATAAAATGCGATGGGCTCAAAACCATACTTCTTCCTGAATAATTATTTCACGATCCTGAGCTTAACAATAACTTAAGCATATCAACCAAATCCGTCCTTTTATTACTGATTCGTGGAAGGACTTTCATACTTTATTTAAGACTCCTAGTTGTAATTGAAGACACTTAGTGTTTGAATTCATATTGCCCTCTATTACGCCATGAACTTAAAGTCTTACCCCGGTATTTTAATCCTTCAAATAAATGATGTATGTGTATATGTGTAGGTATACTTACAAGTTGGATCCATGGCTGATGTTGATAAGCCACAGTGGCAATAACATATAGAAGAAGTCACAGACGATGATATGTTGTCCGAACTGTTTGCATTGCTTTGCGTTTTATAAGTGGATGAAACATTTTGCGCTGAAATACTGGATGGCCGACCATATAGCGAAGACGCATTTTGTGTTGAAACAGTCAAATCAGGGCCACAAGGACATTCACACACTGAGACAGTGCCGTAAGAAGCTAGAACAATTACAAACAGCAGGCTTCATGAGAATTTTGACGAAAAAATCAGTTTCAATGAAAGAAGCTTGGTATAGACTACACGTAGATAAACATGGAGTGGAAATGTCTAAGAGGATCGCAGAAAAACCGAAAACGTACAGCACATTGTGGAAAAATGCAAAGACTAATATTTTAACGCAGGATTTCCCATAATGAGCTAACAATCGTGGTGTACTTATATTGCAGAGATATTGCATTAAAAAGGAAAACTTTTAGTGCTTACTTTCCGAGGCAGAAATAAGGATTGTTGAAGGGACAACTGCCGACGTGGAACCGTCGAGAGGTGAGCTTGGAGTGGACTGAATGCCAGGCACAACTACGTAGGCTAAAGCAACATGCAACATGCAACATGAACTCAAAGTCTTTTCCCGGTATTTCAATCCTTTAAATAAATGATGTGTGTGTAGGTATACTTACAAGACGAGACCTCTGATGATACGCCGATAGTAGTGCCGTAAGAACCTAGAACAGCCACAAACAGCAGGCTTTAGTAAAATAATAAATATTTAGTAATATTTCAGAAATCTGTTGAATGGCGGAAGTCC